AGTCTAAAGTGTAATGTCACCGTCAGCGTTCCGGATTGGAATGGAAATCTTTTTCCAAGTTGATCCATTATATCTATTTCAATTCTGCGGAAATTTGTTTGTCGTAATGGAATATAATGCGGGACGGCGAAATGTACCACTTGATTCGCCGCGTAGGCGTAATAATGATTGTGATCATGCAACTCGAGCGGTACTATTCGGAGAAGGGGAGTTCGCACATCTCCCGTTATATAAGGCTCGCAAATATCGCAATAAACGAAGAGTTTATCGGGGATTCCGCGCGACAAACCATGAGGCTCGCTAGAAAAGAAATTAGTATAACGAGCGCCTTGCGCGGTTTTAAAACCGAGTTTGATAAAATGCGCTGTAAAAGTTTCTTTGGAATTGGGTTTAGTTGCCGTGAGCGTGGTATGGTTAACACCCTCCGCGTTCCTCACGACATACCCGACGCCGAGTATTTGTAGAAGATTATCGGAAACGTGCATATGATGAATCAGCTCGCACTCGTCCCCGCAGTTAATGCTAAAGTAGATTTTACCGCCGGGGGTGTTTTCCAAATAAAAATGCGAATCGACGTTTTGAAACTCCTTATTAATCACGGCGATAAGTTCGTCGATATGTTTGTAAATACCATTCGGTATTACGCCCTCCGTCGACGAGTACGGCGCGTCCTTCTTTAGCGCTCGATCTTTTTTAATATCGACGAAAGTGATGATATTTTCGCCGTGATTTATGTGCAAAAAAGTAGCGGGAAATTGAATCTCGCTGAGCGCGACTTCCCATTCGCCGTGCAAGTGTAGAGTTTGCGGTAATTCCGTAGTGAATGACGCGGTTGTATTGTTCGGGAAATAACGCATGCTGCTATTGCTCGGAAGGACCAGGAGAAATTGATCTTCCCTCATCTTGAAGAGATGTTAAATTTGAGGCGGGGATCCAAGAATCGAACTTGCTGGGATAACCGCGCCAACTAACGAGCAGCTGTTTATTAGCGCCGTGTCCCCTGCTCTCTATCACGCGATCGATGAACTCTTCCTCGCTCAGGTTTTTCTCGACTCTGCCTAGTTCTTGCTCGTAAAAAATACCATCTATGGTCTCGCCCGTTAAATCGCTCAACTCGTACACACGCGGTTTTCGCCACTCGAGAATGCGATGAATTCGGAATATCTCTTCGCTCCAACGGGACTCGTAGCCTTTCTCGAAAGCGGCTTTTGCTCTACTGATCCGAACGAGTTCGCCGACGCGATATTTAACCATTTGTTTCTTCTTCTTCTTCTTCTTCTTCTTCTCGTCATTCCGCCGCCATCGTCGGCTTATATTTTCACGCGCGATACGGGCGTTTTCGCGCGTAACGATCGCCGGCTGCATTCTGGTGGACGAATGACGGGTGTGATTGTAAGCGCTTACGATAGCCTGCAGAACATCGCGGTAACGTCGCGTATTTTTATGCGTGAAATAACGCCACATTCGTTCTTTCAACGTTCTGTTAAACCGTTCGACGACGGCGGCTTTGACATCTGGATTACGGGCTACTCGAAAACGAATGCCCTTTTCCTCCAGAAACCTTTGCAAAGCCTGCCCGATAAATTCCTTGCCTTTGTCCGTTTGCAGGTAGACCGGCACGCGGCCTTCGTTTCTCGAGAGCACGCGTTGAAGGGCCTCCGTTACGCCTTTACTCGTTTTATCGCGTAACGGCTCCACCCAGGCGTATTTACTGAGCAGGTCGATAATTACCAGTAAATACGAATAGCCGTCGTTGTAACTTTTGAGATTTCGGAGTTCGATCAAATCGGCCTCCCACAGGTCGTCGATATTCGTTACGTTGTAATGCAAGCGTGGAAATTTCCGGCGCAATGGACGATGCAGCGTGTACGCGTCTTGCGATTCGAGCCATCGTGCGACCCCGTTACGGGAGAATTTTGGTTTAGCGGCGCGATACAGATTATCAGTTGCCGAATAGCCCGCGTAATGTCGCGGATCGTAGTATATTTTTTCAAGGTCCGTCATTTTTTAGTTCAATTTACGCCAATCGAGTAAACGTCTTTTTGTCACCGTCGTCGAGGAGGTTGTATTCGGAGTGGAGCTCGCAGCAGCGCGACGTTGCCTAATATTTGGAGAGCCGCGGGCTAATAATTCCTTATTTTTCACCAGTATCGCGGGGGTGTTTAAGACGCGTAGTAATCGCGCGAACCGATCTCACCCCGCTGCTTTCACGGTTTTTCTCTCGCGCATCGCGTCGTTTATCAGGTCCGCGATATTCGAATTTTTTACGACGTCGCCGTCTATAGTCACGACTCCGCGCTCGTCCCAGCTCATTCTAGTCGGCACGGCTTTATCGAGCAGATGCCTCATCAGCAGACGCGCGTGGGCGCGATAAGATTTCGGTACGATTTCCACTATTCTCGCGGCGCTCTTCGTCAGCTCGAGATCACGCGCATCGTTTCTCGCCGCCGCTGCGATACCGCTAGAGTGCGAAGGCCTAATGGACGAGATCGGCGCATGGTGGAAGGGATAACATGGTGTGCTCAGTTCGGCTAAACCACGCCTACTTTTGCTTTGCGACGGCTATAGTTTCCCAGGGCTATCAACCGTGAAAAGTAAAAAACATTTAGCATTGGTAAGTTGGGTATGCTGCATCTATCATCCTTGTTTCACGCATTCGAGCGTCGTAGTTTCTCTTTCTATCTTCGGGTCTGTCCTTTATTGCTGCACTCCTAAACTAGTGCACTAGTTTACAGCCATCTATACGCCGGTAAGTCACTTACAAGTGCTGTCGGTAACTCGTC